ACAAAAAGGGCTGAGGTTGTAGCTCAAGGGTAGAGCACTTGCCCAGCCCGTGCAAGCCCCTAGGTTCAGTCCCCAGTACTGCTAACAGAAGAAAGAAAAAGAAGTTGACTGGTAGTTTTGTGGAAGGTGAACTGTGGGAGAGGGAGGCTGGGAGGCCTGTAGCAGGCCTGGTGGACAGTCCTGTAGTGAGACGAAGACGTGTGGATGGGGGAGGGCCGGGGAAGGGCTTGCCCACTGATTGCTCTGTGAGCAGCAGAGGGACGCAAAAGATGAGGCGAAATCCTAGACCCGGCCTCTGCTCTTAGACCTGCAGTTCAACTGCCTGGGCCTCTTGGGGCCTTGGCTGTGACCCAGATGTGCATGAAGGCTGAGTCCCAGCCCAGGTTGTGGAACGAATGGGTCCCAGAATGTCCCAGCTGGGAGGACCCAATTTCTTGATTGCACAAGTGGGTAAACTAAGTCCCAGAGAAAGTATATCACACAGTGTGTTAATAGCAGAGGCCAGATTAGAACCCAGAGCTCCAGAGTCCCAGTCCTACATATCTCTGCAGTTTTTTTTTTTGTTTTTTTTGTTTTTGTTTTTTTTTTGGTTTTTCTCCGGTACTGGGAACCGAACTCACGACCTTGCGCTTGCCAGGCAGGCGCTTTTGCCGCTGAGCTAAATCCCCAGCCCCTCTCTGCAGTTTTTTGGATAGTGTCTACCTCCAAGTGCCCAGACCACTACCTCCTTCCAGCCCCTGCTCATGAGGGGAGCTGAGGGCTAAAAGAGTGAATGACCACCTGGCTTCTCACGCTGCAGCACATGACATGAATGGTCTCCCCCAAAGACAAGCCAGCAACAGAGGCCAGCCCAGGGGACACAGTGGCCCTTGAGGACTCACCTCTGCCCCATGCCGCCTTATCACTGCCAAACAGCCTTAGAGGAAAATAGGGACCCTAAGACCTACAGCCATTCCTCTCATTGGTCCTCCTTGTGTCCTCATTCTGAGGATCTGGGTCCCTCCACTGCAGAGAAAGGTGAGATCCCAAGCAAGTGTCACAGGTAACAACACAGGGCCCTCACCACCCCCATTACCCTTCTCAGACTGGCAAGGGCCTGCAGCCTCTTGGTTATCAATCAAGGAGATAAAAATAACTCTGGGCTGGACTGGAACAGCCACTGTGGGGGCTGAAATGACCGAGTGAGGCCCTCAGTTCAGGGCAGAGGTTCTGAGGAGAAAGGGAGAGCAAAAAGGAAGATGGGGAAAGAGATTAAGGAGGGACCCAGACAGTCGCACATGGTGGTGCACATTTGTAATCCCAGAACTCTAGGAGGCTGAAGCAGAAGGATTGCAAGTTCAAAAGCAAGCCTAGAACATAGGCAACACAGCAAGAATTTGTCAAAAAAAAAAAAAAAAATCTAAAGGCTAGGAAGGAGATAGGACGAGACAGGAGGACAGGCTGCTGGAAAGCCAGCCGACCATGACTAAGGACTCAGAATGAAGGGGCTTCGGAATTGGTAGATGTGTTCTGAGTTGGCTCAGCAGCCTGGATGATGGGACCTGTCCCCACCTCCAGCCCCACGCACTACACACTCATTTAACCCTGGACCAACCTTCTGTTAATTTTCTCTCATTTCATCCTGACAATAGCCCTTTCTATGGGTGTGTGTGTGTATGTGTGCGTGCACACATGTACTATTTTGTCCCCATTTTCCAGATGAGAAAACCGAGGCTCAGATAGATGCTGTTACTGGTCCAGGGTCACAGTGTATCTGATGTCACAGCGTATTCATCTAAACCGTGAGGATTCTGGCCAGAAGGTGGGGAGCCCAGCTAGGATTCTCTCTCTCCATGTCCTAGTCCTGTGGGTAATGGCTGAAGAGAGAACAGCCCACAGGGAGTCAGCGGCAGAGCCAAGAGCTTTTGGGCTGAGTCCCTGAATCTAGTCCAGGGCCCCTGGGTCACATCACAAGGTCTGGAGGAAGGGCCACACTGGCCCCGGGGAGCTCAATGGGTGGAGGCATCAGCTCTGCACAGGGGCCCCTGGGAAGAGGTGCAGGCTGGGGTCACAGCATCAGCCGGGGAACCTAGGCTCCCTGTCTCCTGGCAACAAGTGGCTTCCCCTGAGGAGGCGCCTCTGTGAAGGCGCTGTCTCCAAAAGAGCTGCACGAGGGCGTGACGAGGAGCAGGCCTAGGGGCCACAGGCCGTCTGCGTAGGTGCTGCTGGGGAGTGAGTGGCCCAACTGACTACTGACTTCCTGGCCCCTGGTTCACACCTTCTTTCCTTGGGCCTCAGACTGTGTCCCTGAAGACACACAGAGGTGCTCCTGAGCAGGCCATTGTGACTTCTGGTTCTCTTCAGCTCACTGAAATAGGGCTTGGGGTCAGGCCAAGCACAAGGTGCCTCACTGAGCCACACTTCTCTACCCCTTTTCCCAGTTCTTGAGCTCTGGTGGAGTTCAGGGACTGCAGGTATAAAAATGATCAAGCTCAGCTGAGCGTGGTGGCACACACCTGTAATCACAACACTTGGGAGGCTGAGGCAGGAGGATCATCGGGAATCCGAGGCCAGCCTGGGCCATAGTGAGTTCAAGATCAGCCTAAACTACATAGTGAGACTCTATCTCAAAAAATAAAAAAAAAATAAATAAAAAGATCAAGCTTAGCTAGGCTGAGGTGGGGCACTTGGGGCACTAAAGAATAATGATTACAAAGTCGGGAGTGGTGGCCCATGCCTCTAATCCCAGCACTCAGGAGGCTGAAGCAGGAGGATCCTTTCAAGTTAGAGATGAGCCTGGGCTATAAAGTGAACTCAAGCCCAGCCTGAACTGCATAGCAAGACCCTGTCTCAAAAGACATAATAATAATAATAATAATAACAACAACAACAATAAGGATTGGGCTGGGCATAGTGGCCCAAGCTTGTAATCTCAGCTACTTAGGAGGCTGAAGCAGGAGAGTCACCAGTTCAAGACCAGCTGGACAACTTAATGGAAGCCTGTCTGAAAATAAAAAAGGGCTGAGAATGTAGCTCAACATTCCCTGGATTCAATCCCCACTACCAGGAAAGAAAAACAAAAAGAATGAGGACTGGGAGAACAGGCTGGGAGAAAGGTGGTGCCCCGGTGGCCTCCAACACCCATCTGGGAGGAAACAGCTCCGACATGGACATCACTTCCTCTGGAAGCTGCTCACCTGCGGCGCCACGCCCTCTCCCGCCCCTCAGCTCCAAGCCTCCGGGCAGCTCCCATCACAAGGTGGCGCTGTCCTCCTTGAAGCCCTCTCCCTGCTCTGTGGACTCGGTGGAAGGGGGCATGGGAAGGAGCAGTGCCCACTCTGCAGACAGTCACGGAGGGAGGCACGGCTGTATTGCCTGTGGACATAGTGAACACGTGTGTCCAGTTTGGTAAATAGCCACTGCCCACTCCCAGTGACCTTAAGAGGCCTTCCACGCACTACTTCCATCCCTCCAGTAATTGTGCAGCAAGGGTCCCCCAGAATCGATGTTTGCTGCCATCTCAGCCCTAGGAAGGGGCACATACAGCCCCAACCCCAAACAAGCCAGGCCCTTCTGTCCCACAAGGGCTGAATGTACCCAAACCCAGACATACGCCTGTACTGAAACAATCTCTGAACTTGGCATGAAGCCACTAGGGTCAGGCTATACCCTGGGCATGGCAGGAAATTGGTATAGAGGGTGGTTTAAATTATTTCTAAGGATCTTTATTGCCACTGTTAATGACCTGTGACACACACACCTGGTTTGTCTCCTCTCTGCCCCCAGAACTGACCCATGACCTGGAGATGAGAGAGGCCCAGTCTCACCAGCAAGGTAAGAGAAGGGCCACTGCAGGGAAGTGCGATGGGGCTGAGTAGGTGAATTTCCCAGCTCTTAGTAGGGCCCATGCTTTCTCCATCTCCAGCCTAGATTCAGGCACAGCAACGTCAGCTTGATGATCAGGGTGCAGATGTCAGTCCGACTTCCCCACTCAGTTGGGTGACTTTGTACAGTCAACAACCTGTACTACCACACATCTGTGTCTCTGTCCAAAGTGGGACAAAGAAAGCAGGAAAGAGATTACTCTGGTTTTCCTTCCTCCTTTGTCTTCTTAATTCCTTTCTGGGACGCACCTCCCCAGTCCTTCAAAACCTTGTACAAGTCAGGGGTCGCATCCTGCAAGGTGCTGAGTGTCGAGATGTGACCCGGTAACAGTATGGGGCCCTGGGCCTCAAGGCATTTAATCTAGATGGAGAGAACAGAGCTACATTCGCAAATCTTTCATTTTACCAAAACATGACGTGCCATTGTGGCAATCCCTCTAAAACATATGTTCACAGAGAATTACTTCTGTCTTAATAGGAGGGTGCGGGTGAGGAGGTGATGTTCAGTGGGGCTAGAGTTTCAGTTTTGCAAGATTAAAAAGCTCTAGAAATCTGTGGCAGGATGTGAAGCTGAGGCAGGAGGATCACTTGAGACCAGGAGTTGGAGGTCAACCTGGGCAACACAGCAAGACCTTGTCTTTTTTGTTATTGTTGACACTGTTTTGAAAATATTTTTATTAGTGCCTAGAGACACTGTCTTTTCACAAAAAATTTTTGGAAACCTGTTGCACAATAATGTGGGCTGGGGATGTAGCTCAGAGGCACAGCACCTGCCTGGCAAGCTCCAGATCCTGAGTTCAAGTTCCTGTACCCAAATAAAAAAGTGAATGTACTGTACACCTTAAAAATGGTTAAGGTGGTACATTTTATTTTTGGGTTTTTTTTAACCACAATTAAAACATTTTTAAAATGTGGCAGGGCTGGGCATGATGGCACACACCTGTGGAAGGATCACTGTGAGTTCAAGGCCAACCTGGTCTACATACATAGGTGTTCAAGGCCAGTCTGAACTACATAGAAAGACTCCATCTTGGGGCTGGGGATTTAGCTCAGCGGCACAGCGCCTGCCCGGCAAGCACAAGGTCGTGAGTTCGATCCCTGACACCAGGGGAAAAAAAAAAAAAAGACTCCATCTCAAAAAAAGACCAATACTCGGGCACCCCATTCCACGTCGTAGTCCCTCTCCTCCTGTCACCTGGAGCCCATGCAAGACCAACCTTCAGGGACAACTTCCTTCTCCTGTGTCAGCCGGGGGGTCGGGACCGTGTGATTTCTCAGTGATTTCCTACAGCGTTGCACCCTCCCTCCAGGTGGGAGGAATAATCACCATCCCAGGAATTCTCAATAAACTTTTATTACTGAAAAGAAAACAATAATAAATAAACCAATGAATTTTTTAAATGTGGCAGGGAGAAGATTGTCTTGTTCAGATCATAATCACTGAATTAGAGGGTCTCTGAGAACTTAGACTGGGTGCTAACCATTGTGAAGTGCAAAGCACATTACCTGGCTTGAAGAGACTGTAACTGTTTAGCTAAAAATAAATCGTAAAAGGCTGGCATGTAACTCAGTGATACAACACTTACCTAGTATGCACAAGGTCCCGGGTTCGATTCCTAGTACCCCTCTCTCTCTCTCTCTCTCTCTCTCTCTCTCTCTCTCTCACACACACACACACACACACACACACACACACACCTCATAAAAATAGCCATTTTTGGCCAGGAGAATTTTTGAGGGGTGTTTTGTTTTGTTCTAAGACAGGATCTCAAGGACTATATAGTTTGGACTACATAGTCAGATCCTGTCTTTAAAAAAAATAAAACACAGGGAGAGAGAGGGTCAGTCTTGTAATGTAGTCCAGACTAGCCTTGACCTCACAGTCGTCCTGCCTCAGCCTTCCAAGTACTGAGATTGCAGGAGTGCACACCATGCCTGGCCAGGAAAGTTCTGAAGAATAGATTCCCTGTCCTATTGATGTGTTGCCCATAGCTCAAGAGCTATATGACCAAGAATTGGGAATGGGGAGGGTTAGAAGTTTAAGCTAAAACATTAGGAGGCTGGCCATGGTGCTCACCTGTAATTCCAGCACTTGGGAGGCTGAGGCAAGAGCATCACAGAGAGTTCAAGGCCAACCTGGGCTATATAGTAAGTTTTTGTTTCATTTTATTTTGTTTTGTCTTTTTGAGACAGGCTCTCGCTATGCAGTTCACACTGGCCTTGAGCTCACTTTGTAGCCTAGGCTGGTCTCAAACTCGCAATGACCCTCGTGCCTCAGCCTCCCAAGTGCTGGGATTACAGGCATGCACCACCATGGTCAGCTTTACATAGTAAGTTTAAAGCCAGTCTGAACTGCACGGGAAGACCCTGTCTCAAAACTAATTAAATAAATAAATAAAATGTTAGGAATCCTCCAGATTGCTGTGTGCATGTAAAGATCAGCTGGAGATCGTCTGAACCGTTGAACGAATCCTACCCTCTTCTGCACACATTCTCCTGGTGCTTCAGTGCTGGAGAATGAGAGGAGGTGAAAACAGTTCTGTGACCACAGCAGCCTTTACCCCGACTTTCCTACCTGTGAAGGGTATTTAGGGTCACCTGGGCTCAAGACACTGCCCTGGTTTCCTGAGTTGTGGCCATGGTGGTTGTTGCTGAGCCCTGTGTACGTGTATTGAATTAGGCGTTGGGGCTATGGTGGGGAATAAAATGGTCCTCATAAAGCTTACAGTGTAAAGGGAGAGGTGTAGTAAGTAATCATAAATGTAGGGTTGGCACCGTGTCATGTGCCGAGAAGCAGCAAATCAGTGTGTGACTGTATAAGGATGTCGCCTGTTGTTGTTGCTGTGCTGCTGTTGTTGTTCTTTTTGTTCTTCTTCTTCTTCTCCTCCTCCTCTTTCTCCTCTCTTCCTCCTCTTCTTCTCCTTCTCTCTCTCTCTCCTTCTGTCCTTCTCTCTTGGAGACAAAGTGTCCCTGTGTAGTTCAGGCTGGCCTTGAACTCACTACGTAGTAAGCTCTGAAGATTTAGAACTCAGGCTGAAGATTTAGGCAGAACCATTCCCAGGTCCATCCCAGAGATTCTGACTCAAGTGGTCCTTGGTAGGGCCAGGAAACAGTATTTGTAAAAGCTCTCTGCATAATTCCTTTGTATATCCAAGGTTGAGCCCTGCTGCAGTGGCAAATGCAAACAAGTAAACAAAAGACTCACAAACTATAATAAGCACTCCATGAAGGAAACAAGGAGACTGACACCCCCACCCCTGCACATCCCCAACACTTCCACACCTTGCTTTTGCCTTGTGTTTCTGACACAGGGCTTTTGTGCAAACTGCTCCCTCTGCCCGAAGCACTGTTCTCCAGGGGAGGAACTCCTCATCCTACAGATTCTCACCCAAGCCTCTCTCTCCGGAAAGCTTTTCCTGATTAGGCCATATCCTCCTCATACAGTCATACACTGATTTGCTGCTTCTCGGCACATGTCATGGTGCCAACCTCACATTTATTTATGATTATTTACTACACCGCTCCTACTACGCTGTAAGCTTTACGAGGACCATTTTATTCTCCACCATAGCCCCAGCACCTAACCCAGGGCGCGTAACAGGGCTCAGCAAATTAGTTGTGGCCTGAATAAGCAAGCAGTCAGGAAGGATTTTCCATTTAAACGGAAAACCAGAAGCATTCGCGGAGAGGGTGGGATAGGCGCAAAGGTCCCGGGGGAGGAGAGGAAGTTCCTGCAGCTGACCCGTGGGACTGAGGGAGAGCGCGCGTGGCCGTGGAGGTGGGGAGGAGGAGGGCTCGGTTGCGTCAGCTGCTGAACGGCGCAGGTGTGTTCCATGCAGGCGGGCGCCGTCACCTCTCCCCTCTGTCTCCCCTTCGCAGAGGAGGCGTCCCGGGAGCTGGAGAGCAAGTGCCGCGCGCTGGAGTCGCAGCTGGCGGCGCGGACCGCGGCCAACGCCGAGCTGCGGCGGGAGGTGGCGCAGCGGGAGGCGCTGGTGTCGGCGCTGCGCTGCAGCCTGCGCTCCGAGGAGCGCCGCTTCCTGGAGGAGCTGCGTCGCCGCAGCCACCGTGCCACCGTCCTG